AAATTTTTTTTTAAATATTGGGTACAGAAACCAAAAGAGTATGTATAATGTTAGTTGGTTAACTTTTATTTATCAAATAGTCAAACCTAAATGTATTCAGACGCCTTTAACATTTCTCACGTTATCACAGTTTATTCGCTATAGTTTAGAAAATGGTAATAAAATATAACAAGAACGCGGAGTTAAACGAAGTCGGAACAAATTCAGCTTGATAATGTTAGATAACTGATTAAAAGGTATGTAGCCTAATGGATTGCAATCAACCAAATATTAGACAGCTGTTAGTATGACGGTATTTACACAACTATCAATGCTTAGTCGGGCAACCCTTTGCCTTAATGACAGTCTGTAGTCTCCTGGGCATGCTGTCGTCCAGGTTCATGCAAACCTGAACTTAATTTAAATTTTTTTTTTTTTTCTCGACTCAGTCTGAATAATTTTTGGTCCCATATTGGTATCAGTTTTGCTGGTAGTCCACTGTATGAAGAAATTGTGTATAATTTGTCACGGTTTACTTTTTTGCTACCCTTTCTTACATAAATGAACTATAGTGTCCTGCACCCACTAGTAAAAAAATATCAAATTATATCTGGTCTCTGAATAATTTTTGGTTTGACTGTATATCCTTCTGTTATTTTCACACTTAATTATGCCCATTAAAATGTATTTTACAAGTTTGTTACTTTCACTGTTAATTTTTTGCTCTATGGTACATCATCTTTAATTTAATAGCAGTAGAGCTGCTCCATTGCAGCGGCTTCATATACTGTAATCACGCGCTTTGCTGTAATAATGCAGGGAACCACTCATTATAAATCTCCTTAACTGATATTTTCAGAAATAGAAGTCGTGTTTTTTTTCATCCGAAACGTACTGTGATTTATATTCCAAAGTCACTCATATAATGCAGAAACAATCAAGCAAGCAAAACACGTGCAACGCGTGCACGTATTTGTACTGATGCAGAATAGTACAGCCTAGCGCATTTCACACAAGCTGCTAGATTCACCAGAAAGTCGTTTATGCCTAAGGTTAAAAATAAATGACATTTATAGTGAATGCCCCTATAAATTGTCTTATTTTTATGATTTAGTTTTAATCCAAATGTTGCGTGTGCTAAGTGAGTGAACATCAAAGATCACACAACAGAATTGCGCTCTCCCGCCCCTCCCTCCCTCCCTACTGTTAAGTAACTTGTGCATTGTTTTACTTGTTTATGACATCCGACCGAACTACAGACTTTCCAGTGATGTCTGTGAGAAAGATATATTCACTCGACAAGCTTGCGCATCTGCGCCACCACACGCTCAATCCACTCAGCGCGCTTTGCTTATCAACTCGAGCACATCAGCTATACAGGCGTTAATACTGAATGCATATTCATTGCATACATACACTTCGTAGACATCCTTAATCTCTAACTCCAGTCTGCTGTCTGTTGTTCTGTTGTCGGTGTTTCATTGTCTGAATATGGATTAACTCTTATTTTGACAGGAAAATACAACACAGAATATGGTTTACATGTAGCGCATCGATTCAGCGTGGTATGCAAGACTCTCGCTCGCTCTCTTTGCATGTGTGAGCAACACGGTGCTATCAGTAAAGCGACGGCGAGTCGTGCGCCTTCACACTAGTTTACGGTACGTCAAATACAGGTGCGCTGCATGCTACATACTGCGCATCCATTGAGTACATCCAAATAGTACAGATTGCTTGACGCAGAGCGAAACTGTGAAGCACTCAGTCAGCGTGTTTATCGAGTGAAAATCTGTGTTGAACGCCTCTCACACATACTGGCGTGTAAAATCCTAAGAATTTATTAGCCAATGGCTAATGTTAGACATTATTTAGTCGCCCAGAGTAAGATTTAGTCGCATATGCGAGTGATTTACTCGCAATAATAAGAACAATATAAAATGCACTAAAGATTAATGAGCTGCTGGATTCATGAATATTAATCGGGTTGTGTGCATTCGCTCGAACTGATTTGCTGAAATCAAAACGGGGACGATAATATGTGAGCGCCAGCCAATGAGATTGCTGTTTGCGCATTAGTTCCGGCCCACTACCGGAGAAAGCTGTAGTTCTTGAAAGTGGAAGAATTCCAAAGGAACCGGAAAATACAACAAATAATATCGTTTACATGTAGCGTGTCAATTCTACGGTGGCCGAGAAGTGCTAAACAAATCACAATTCTGAAAACAAAATAACAAATTACAAACGCAAATGCAAGTCTAAAAATCAAAACAATTCGGAAAGCACAACAATTCAGAAAACATTATAACAAGTCAGAAAACACAATGGCAAATTCGAAAACAATATAACAAGTCGGAAAACACAACGACAAATCAGACAAACCGGAAGAGGTAGGTGTAGTTTGAGACGGTGCCATTGGTTTGGGATTACTCACCGCTGACTGGACGAGACATCTGTCAATCAACATATACAGGAAGAGTCGTGGTAGAAAGTTCAAAGATGGTATTAAAGTAGCTCAGTTTAAATTTATTGTATGAATTTCCCATACTATGGAATAAAAAATACGGAGTGTATATTTACATTTAGTTAAGTGACCTGTAAAACATCAGCTCCAGTGGCGCAGATGGATAAGAGCGTGTCGTTGGCTTTTTGACGCGATCGACCCGAGTTCGATCCCACCTTTTGCCAGACTTTTTTTCCCCTCCCTTTTCAAATCTCGTATCACATCGTAAAGGCATTTATTTTCAATAAAAATTAAGGAAATAATCAAAAGGTTGAAATTAAAGTATCGGGTAGGGTTAGGCTAAGGTGTAGGGAGGGCTTTATTGTACCAATAAGGTGGCATCCATTTAAT